CCCCCCCCCCCACCCCCTGCCGGGGCTCGTGCACACCAGTAGCGTGCGCCAAGCCTTATTTCAACAACTATACTTATATCCCCCTCAGAATTATAACCAAACTAAGAAATATCAGCTTAAGTTCCCCCGAAAAGAAGAAAAAAAAAGAAGAAACAAAACCTAGAAAAGATAGAATTCTCTCTTGGTCAAAACCCATTCAGTTAAAGTTTGTGGGCGTCACATTGTTCGGAGCACCATCGCGCTCAAGTGATTAGTACCTAAGTTTCTGTTTTCGTATAGTACTCGGAATAAGTGTCATAGGCCTTCGTCATACTTTCTCGTAACTTGTCAATACCCCGAGGAACAAGTTTAGCCGTCACAAATTCATTATCCGGAATCCAGCCTTTGAAAAGATTGTTTGATAACCCCAGAACTTCGCAAGCGCTTTCTGGTTCATTCTCATCCGGCACCGCCAAGTAGAAATTCCCACCATTGAAAGCCCTGACCATGCCATCTTCTCCCTCAGGCTTTGAAGAGTGGGTGATGTTTCTCTGAAAAATGACGTAAGCTTGCTTGCCATACCAATCAATCTCTTTAATTGGCGAGTTCAGCAAAACGTAATTCCGACTAACAACTGGCCAAGGAGTAACAACTCGCATGTAGACCACATTCTCACCATTGGGGTAAGTCTCCAGAAGTTCATGGTCCACAAAATTGTCGTCCCACTTTCTTCTGACTTCTATGTGCGCTGGCTGTATCATCTCCAAACACGTCTTGGCGGGTATTGGCATTTTCCACTTGAAAAGCAACTTTATTGGAACCTCCTCGCCTGGGAATGTTTTAATCCAATACTGAGACACAGAGTCGTCCAGCGAGGCAACGCATTTTGATATTGAGACGACTGACATAAGAATTTTGTCTCGCATTAACTCACAAAGGTACGTGTCTGTTTTCTTCCAGCCACCTTTGCCCAAATCATCTTTGAACCGCTTGGCTCTATCGACTTCTTCCTCGTAATCAAAAGATGGATCATGGTTTTCTGACGGCATGATGATCGAATGCGAACGAAGTGACGGCACACGGTACGTAGCTGCTTATGAACAAATTAAGCTCGCTGGTGGCAAAACCTCTCCTAATACGCTTGCTTGTTAAATAAAAACAATAATTTTTTTTTAATGAAAGAGTCTGACATTTTTTATGAACACTTACTCAGTTACTTAGATACTACGGTTCCTATTAAAGATCAACCAAATACACGCTTAAAAAGGAGACTTTTTAAAAGAAGTATAGCAACCGTAAGGTTACATATTTTCATTTTACTTATAGTTTATTAAAACATAAATGATTGGTCAAAATTGGTGATTTTCTTAGAATGACGTTTAGTCCCGCAAAGTCACTTTTGATGAATTAATTAGCCATGGTTGACTTTTGTCGGTTGGTGGTCCGATATATCATTAATTGTGCCGCATTTTTGTCGAAACTCTGTGTCACTATGGGGAATGTTTCGGCTATCATGTCCACCAAGAAGAGGAGGGAGAGCTCTGACAAAAAAAAAACAAAAACAAAAACAAACAAACAAACAAAAAAACATCGTCTTAAGCCAATCTCGACCGCAGAGCTCTTCTACGCTTGAATCAAACGCATAAGCACTGGAGTTGGGAATGGTTTTAAGTATGACAATTGCGCGTGAACAGTGCATTGTACACACAATTTATGCGAAAAGTGTGATGATCGCATTTTTCATATAAAATTTGGAGGGGGCCTTTTGAAGAGCCATGCCTCATCAAAGACCGGAGATGAAGAAATTCCATTTTTGTTTCAGCCATTTTAGTAAGGGAGCAAATGGCAAAAAATGCCTTTCGTTTTCTGGGTTCAGCCTCGTTTCCATGTTGGAGGATCGGGAGCCTCGTTCTCGGTTCATTACAAATAAAGCCGAGTGGCTCTGGGAACGAGAATGCGAGAGCCTAGAATGAACCTTCCTAACAGTCAAAATCCTTCGACTTCAAGGTGGTAACAGCATAATTCTCAATCTGGGTGGTAAAACGAAAATTTTAAGCTATGTTTATGTTTATTATGTTTAGCTATGCCCTCTTTTGCCGCAGAAAACATAAAAAAATCTA